CCTTTTTCTGAATTGAAGTCTGTCTGTTCACTTTCTTTGTGGGCTCCAGTTTTCCCTTCAGATCCTTCCTGTGTCTTGGGGATCCACCTCCCTCATTTTCTTCCCGGAGTTGTTATTTTCTGGTGTCTGGATTCCAAATCTGCCTTTTTCATTCCTAATTGCACTGATTTGGGTTTTTTTTCTTTTTTTGTAAGTTGGGTAAGGGTTTGCCTATGGTGTTTATTCTTTGAAAGAACCAGTTCTTTTATTCATTGATGCTTGTACTTTTTTTAACCTCAGTTTCATGAATTTCTGCTCTAATCTTTGATTTCTTTCCTATAGTAGGTTTGAGTTTGGACTGTTGTTAGTTTTCTAAGATCTTGAGGTGGGTCACTAGGTTATTTATTTGAGCTTATTCTGTTTTTCTAATGTGAGCACTGACTGAAATAAAATTTCTTCTTAGGATTGTTTTGTTTTATAGGTTCTGGTATGTTGGACTGGCATTATCATTTGATTCTAGAAATTAAACAAATTCTTGTTTTATTTCTTCTGTGACTGAGTGTTCAGGAATGTGTTCTTTAATATTTATGTGTTTGTGCAATTTCTGTGGTTTCTTTTACGATTGATTTCTAGTTTCACTGCACTGTGATCTATCTGATAGTATACATGTAATGATTTCAATTTTTCTGCATTTATTTAATCAGGCTTTGTGAACTAATATGTGGTCTGTTTTGGAGAATGTTCTGTGTCCTGCTGAGAAGAATTGCATTCTGTTGTAGTAGGGTAGGACACTGACACTGTCAAGTCCATTTGTTCAAAGGTACGGTTCAGCTGTGATATTTCTTTCTTAATTTTTGGTTTAGTTGATCTCTGTGAAAGTCAGATGTTGAAGATGCGCCCTGTGATGTGTTTGTGTTTATTTGATTTTTTGTGTCCTATAAGTGTTTGTTTTATGAAGTTGAGTGTGCAGGGTTTTGGTACATACACGATTACAAAATGTTATTTCTTCATGTTGAATTGTTCCTTTCACTCATATGTAGTGGCCATTTTTGTCTCTTCTGATTAGTTTTAGGTTGATGTTGACTTTGTCTGAGAATAAAATCTCTCACTTCTAGCTTTTGGGGTTTTGGTACATGGAATATTGTTTTCCATCTTTTGATTTTTTTTTTTTTTAGTCTGTGAATTTCTTTATGAATTAGATGAGTCTCTTGATTGCAACAGATTGGTTGGCTTTTTTTTTTTTTTAAAACCCAGTCTACCAATCTGTGTCTTTCATTTAGGGAGTTGAGGCCATTTACATTGAGAGTTATAACCAAAAAGTATTGTCTTTGTCCTGTAATTACATTTTTTTCCTGTTCTTGACTGCTTTCTTTTTCTCTTTTTGTTTAACTACCCCCATTGCTTGTTGTATTCAGTCCATCCAACTTCTTTAGTTTTGTGGCTTCATTGGCTCTGTCTAACATATTCTTTAGTATTTTTGGGGAGTGCTGGTTTGGTGTTCATGAATTTCTCAAGAT